CACAGTCAATGGCGATCTCCGTTCCATCTCCCTTCCTTTTCTGAACGAAATCAGACCCACTATAGGGTGGTATTATGCAGATTCCATACCATATGAACTACGAATCCATTTCTTGGATTATTATCGTTGAGTGGTTTAGGCATATCAATGGCAGCCGATTTCTACCAATCACAGCCCAATTTCCGGCGTATGAAGTGCTTTTTCGTGTAAAATCAGGTATTCTTTCTTTTGATTTGGTTTGTTCCCTAAATTCATATCTAATTGTTACTCCGTATTCAATTTGTACTCTTCTTAGTTTGTTCCTTAAACATTTCTTTTCAATTCGTAAATCTAATCAGTTTTGCTGTTTTGCACTCATAGAGTCATTAATAACCAACATTTTTCTGTTTTTTATAACAAAGCCCGAATGGATTTTTGAAGCCAAATAGCATTCATAATTACAATGGTCAGTAAACATCTTTCTGCGTTTGCTTTAGCATATCATTTTACATTCAATTGAATATTTTGTGAAAATAATTAGGGATAATATGATTTCCCAATAATAGCAGAAATAAACATTTAGAAGTGTTTGACATGCACTCCTTGCACACTAGGGTAAATTTGAGATTGAGAATGAATTTCAATGATCCAATTTGATTGTGATTTGAATATACTCTGTATTCTATTTTAGAAGAGTAGAGCAACATCATATATATGAAGTCCAGAATACATTTGTGTATGGTGGGTGTTTGTTTTGCATTATACCAACTCCATAAAGCCCATCTGTGCTCCCACTGAAATTGTCCCCTTTACTAGACCTTGGCTCAAGACATTACTGTCAGGGCCACTGGGTTTGACCCAGTATTTTGTATCACTGAAATGGACGGTTCATCTCGAGGCTTTCCAGCTAAGTTGTGTTTTTTACACGTTTCTTGAAGTAAAGAGTCATGTTTCTGATTTTTCCTATAAGTTCTCCCAGTGTATTTATCTTTCTCAATAGGCAAGACTTTTTGAAATAAATTTAACCTGAGTGTAATTTGGCAATGTTTTTCGCCTTTTTTTTGACACGTAATAGCCAGCAACATGTTTCTTCAGCGATTACTACTACCCCTCTTCTTTCTCTGATTGAAACTATCGCAGAAGGAAACACAAAATTTACGCCGGGTATCTTCACCATCGAAGGAAACTCTCAAACCCCCCCCCCCCCTACTTGCACTCTCAATCTGGTATTCTCTTCTTCACCAAAAATCCAGATCCGATTTGTTTCTCCATCTTCTTTGTTTGTCCATCGAAACCAAAGTCAAAATTTCTTCTTATTTTGATGTTCTAAAGATAGTATATCTCTCCTATCGCTTCTTCATCTGTATTTTCTTTTCACTATTGCTTAATTTTAGGTTTAGATTTTTAAATGTTTTTATGATTTTTTATTTATTATGTCCTTCATCAACTTGAAGCAAAAAGTTGTAATTCCACGTTCTTCATCAATAGCCGGCTAGACCAGAAAGTTGTCATCCGATCAATAATGAAGTGGAGTAACTTGGTAAGCTTTTATTAGCAAAATTTTATTTATTAAATTGACAAATGGTATTATCTTGGTCAAATTGTATTTTTTTGATTTTTAGTTCTATGCGATATTAGCAGAATTCTCTTTATACAGACAAATTTCTCCGGTGGCTTGACTGACACAGTGTGCACATCAAACACATAGAGATGGAGGAGCGGAGGATGATGACTATTGGAGCTAATTACTAGCAGCAACCTAACGTCATTACCAGTGTTTCCCTCAGGATTTCAAACACACTCATTGAATGGAAATCCGAGATCTAATTCCAATCAAGAAAGCCAAACGAAAAGGTCAGTACTTCATCTCCGAATTCATTCTTGATTAATACCATTCATGCTTGATTGATAAGGACTCTTTCTTTATCACGTCTTCGATTCTGTATGTCTTTAGAGCACTGTGGTTTTTAGTAGGTTTTATTCTTATTCATATTATACAAGATCGTGTTGTGTTTCTAAGGGGAGAAGAAGCTGGACTTCTTTTGTTGGAAAAACTTGAGCCGAAATCTATTTTGATTGTTACCTTACTCCAATTTTTCATACCATATTTTAGTGAGCAAAAATAGGCTACCTATATAATTTCTTCATTCTATAAAGGATTATTAGTACTCAATTCATTCTTCATACTCATGATAGTTTGGATTTTGTTTCCATCAATGAATGACAAACTCCTTTAAATGATTTTAAGGTTTGATTTAAAATAAGCTTTTATTCTGTATAAGTTATTTTGAATAAGTAAATAGGCTACGTAGTATAAGCTTTAGCAAATGGGCTATAGTTTGGATTTTGTCTTTGCATTTAAAGAGTTTGTAGTATAAGTTTTTTGAAGATTTTTTGGTGAACATAAAGTGCATCTTTATGAAGCAAATAAAGAGCAAATCTAATTTTACCAAGTACAATAAAAAAGGTGGTTCATTTCTTTACTCCGAAAAACAAAATTTGAAAAAAATATGAATGGTATTTCATGATTTTTTGAATCGTGTTTTTAAACATTTTTTTGTAAAATTCAACATGCAAATTTATGTGAGATTTTTTTAGATGCAGAGCATATCACTATTGGGTCCTCACGTGGTGAAAAGGCACTAAGGGTGGAGTTTTCAGGTGGTGAAACATCCTCTTGCATTAAGGTTAACATTTGAAACTTAATCTTTATATAAAGATTTGAGAGTTTGAGCTCTAAAAAATTGACGTGGCACTTTTAGGGGGTGAGATTTTTTGACACGTAACCTTACACGCGTCAATCGTTTATTTTGTAGACTTCATCACACAAATCTGAAAGTTGCGACTTCTTCGCCGGTTAATTCTTCAGTGATTGTTTCGCCAAAGGAAAGCATTAACACCGATTTCTTCTTGGATTACAAGCAGTTTTTTCATTATCAATTGTTCTCCAAACTTTGCACCAAGTATTGACCGAAAGAAAGAACTTTACATCAACTTTCCTTTCTCAATTCAATTTGCTAATAGCCAATTTAGACGGATCTTTGGAGCTTGATTTCTGGCGGTTCAATTATTTTTTCTAAATAATTGGGCTGATTTTGTTGAAAAAATTCCCCTATATGGAATTAAGTTGCTTGATTTTGTTGATATACTAGGCTGATGCAAAGTATCCATACTTAGCTGGTAATATTGTTTCCTTTTCCATAATATATGTGTGATCTTATATTTTTTACTCTAGATTTAATTACAATGCCTCAGACACAATGAGCATGCTTTCTGCGGCGGTTAACAAAAAAGAAATAGTTTTAGAGTCCTAGAGAACAAGAATGAGTTTTATCACATTAGAAGTTAAAGGGTATTATATTATTGCCTTACTTTTATAGAAAAATGCATATACTACTTCAAATAAGTTTTATTGACTGCTATTTTAAACCTTGCAAATTGAATTAGAGTTGAGATATGGTTGCCTGTGTCTCTTAATTAGGATTTTTTTAATAATAATATACTGTAGGATGGTTTTTTTTTAAGATCAAAAGCTCAATCTCAATTTGAAACACTAATTCTGCTTATAAATTTACTATGCACTGATGATTTATCAATTTCATTTGAATTTTCAAAATTGTCTATCCATGGAGAAAATTTTTGCTGTTCAAATTTATACCTTAGAGAAATATGTAAACTGTTGGTGTAGGTGTTGTGCATCATATTTTGTAAAGCTCATTGTTTATAAGGATTATGATGCAGGGTATGATATGAGATACTATTCTATACTCATTGCGTACTTCAAATTTTGTTCAACTTTATGTTAATGGAAATAAACATTCAGATAAAAATTACTTAGCTCTTACCTGTGGCAGCATTCACCAATTTTTGTTGAAAACTATGATCCAAAATATCACAGTGGGAAATATACAACTATAAGCATTTAACCGGTTGTTGATTGATTAATCATTTATTTTCAAAGTTCAAGTCAAGATTGTGCGCTTCAAGAGATTCAGGCCTTCTAACAATGTGATTGACATTCATTTCAATGAATGAATCATTTCAAAATACAAGGATTTGGATTCCGTCTTTCCCTCCCAGGTTTGGATAGTTATTTTATAAATGAAACCGTATTCTTAAATTGTTGAAGTGTTGAGCGCATCAAACTAGCAGAAGAATAACTGGATGGAGCTTTATGGCTAGGATCAGACTTATTCACTTGTGCTAATGGGGATAGTTACATTCTGAGCAAGGCTATTCATCTTGCCTAAACAGGTGATGAAGAGGATTGTGGCCATCTGCAAAAAATTTCTATGGGGGAGTTCAATTGACTTTTAAAAGGTTAGAGATTGCTTTGAAAATATGCCCAAAGGTGATGGATATATAATTGCTGATTAGATTTAAGGGGAGAGAACTACACACAGATGGAAGGATTGGGTCTAGAGCTTCAAATATACTCTCACTAAGTTTCCCCTTATCTTTTAGTTACTGATGAGAGGAAGATTGCAAACCAAGAATAGATTCAGCAGGTATCTTACCATTGATACCAAATGTGGTTTGTGTGAGATGGATGTTGAAATTAATAAAGCACCCATTTGGGAGATAGAACCCATTCAAACCAGTTATGGATAGATACCATATACGACATATACAAGACAAGGAAAACACAATTGAAGGTAGAGGAGAGAGCCTACACATGATAAAGGACAGAAAAACAAAACAAAAAACATGTACAATATGGGCTGCCTGCATATATAGTATATGGAGGGCAAGGTACAAAGTTATACACCAGCTGTGCAACTGAGAAAGCTACTAATTAAGTTATTTTTTATACTAATAGTTTCTTTATGTATTGCGAGATTATGTGATTTAATAGAAAAGGGTAGCTAATGACTAATGTAACTATGCAATTTTGGTTTGTTTTGGATTAAGGAATGAAAAAAAATCCAGTGCAAAAAAAACATTGAACGAAAATTGTGAAGTTAAAAAAAACATTCGTTCGATCCCGTGCGTGGCACGGGTCAAAACACTAGTCTCCTAAGAAAGGCAAGTTTGCTTTATTGAGAATTTAAAAAACGAAATTAAACTTTACAGAACTTAAAAAACAAAACAGGATGCTAGTGTTTCAAAATTTAAATTCATCAAACACAAAATAAAACAATTGATTTATACGTCACTCCTTCTCCACCTTGATCGCCTTCAATCTCTTATTTTCTGCAGTTGAACTGAATTCATCTTGTAAAGATTTTTTCACAGGGTCCGCTTGATCAATTACTTCTTTCCTTGATATACTCTCATCTCTCAAAACCTTCAGGACATCATTTGAACCAATCTGCAAGTAAAATTAAAGTTTAATATTTTTTCATTGATAATAAAGTTGTGGTTTTTTTGGAAATCACGCTAGCTTATGGGTGAGAGTAAAAATACCATTTTTAAAGCATCTCCATTCTTCTCATGTTCTATAAGGGCTTGTTCAAATTGATCATCCAAATCAATGGTTTCATATCGAGATATGATAGTTTTATCTGTTATAAGATCCGAAACTCCAAAACTTTTGCCACCGACATAGGAATTGTTTTCCATAGCCTCTTTGAGGTATATGCAAAATAACGCCCGCATATCAACAATGTCTCTAATCTCCTTCGGAATGTTGCTTGAATCATCATTTCTCTATACGTTTCAAAAAGTGGTATTTTAAATTGCATTACAAAATTTTTTATAAAGAGTTAAATAAGTCAATACCTCGTCCATCATACTCTTCATGGCACCCGCTGGCATTCCAAGAAGGTCTGAACATTCCTTATCCCACAAAATAAGCGAAGCAGCATCGCTATTATCAATAACACAAATGCTCACCATGTATCTATTTATCATACGTTAAAAATTAGTAATTTTAAAAATTATTCTTTCGGGGTATCACATAACTTGAATGCAAATAACAACCTATACACTCCCTCAGGATAATCTCTTTCGCATTTCATACACTTGAACCTCGTAGCATCTGGAGCAACCTTCCGGTTGCACTTGGGACAACCAAGATAACACCATTCATTGGTGTTTTCAATTTCAACAACATCACCAAGTATCCAATAATATCCTTTCTGCTAATAAGAAATAAATCAATAAATTTGTATTACTATTAAATATATATATATATATATATATATATATATATATATATATATTTGCGTGTAGTAATTATATTAAATAAAGAAAATCAATCGACTATTAATATTATTAGTGTATTTATTAAATTATATCCGTACATAATTACTAATTCCAAATAAGAATGGAATCCAGTTTTTTCATAAATTAGGAAATTAGAAAATACGTCTAATTGATTTAGGTATTTAAATGGAAACTTATATTTTTTTCCTTTTTGGTCTCTCGTGACTACTTGAATTGAATTCAAATATTTTAATTATGTCATTATTTACTTTCTGCAATACTAAATTATCAATAGCTCATAAAAATTAAGCTTATTCAGAATTTTTAAACTAACGTAATTTGCAAATAGTGAATAATTTAGGAAAGAAAATAAAATTAAAGCCTAATTCTCACTTAAACTCTTATCATTAATAAATTTACTTTGTATTACTCGGGTATTAAAACTAAATTAAAATTATTTAAAAAAGGAACACGTATTTCCATAATTGCCATAGATGAATATGCAATATATTTAAAGTGAAAAGTATCTTATTTCTTATAACATGTAAAGAAATATGTCTTACATTGCTCATGTTTTTTAGTTCATTAATGGAGACCACTTTCAAGTTGCTCGTTCTTTTATCATCTCTTGATCTTGACTGTGTTGAGACGATACTACAACTTTGGGTTAAATGATTAGCACTTAACATTAACCTGCATGATTACAATTGTTTAAAATTTAAACAACACCTTGATTATATTTTTAGAAATAAAAAATCTGCAAGAATACATGTGGAGTTACTTTTCTCTCCAAGCTTTAACTTCATCACACTCATCATTGAGTAAAACCTTGCTCACAGAGTAAATTGTTGTAACAGACACTTGCTCTAAATGATTTGAAAAAAATACAATTAGAATTAAATCATTGGGTACATGTCGTTCAAAATTAATTTGAATTAATTTATGAATATATACCATTGTAGAACTTAGGTTTCACAATCTGCAACACCAAAATTGGAAGGGTCGATTCCGATGCACTCAATCCATCAATGAAAACATTGACGTGATTTCCCCATAACGTACAATTCAACCGAACACCACTACAAAAAAAAGTTATAATTATTTTTAAATATAATATGTGTCACAATTTTTTAGTAATTAGCTAACCACGAAATAACGTATCATACAAATGAATTATTTAGTAATTTTTTTCAAAGTATAATTTTTTTTTAATTAAAATGAAATTGGTTATTAAAAAATCACTTACTTGTGGTTCTCCAAGGTAACTTCCATCATTTGCTCCGGGGCATTTTTAACCATATGGGTTTCGGGCACAGTTGGACTAACTACTTTCCCGATTATATCTGAAAATCCATAAAAATACAATTTTAAAAATTTCATAATCATAATACATAAAATGTATTTCATATGTGTAAGTATTTAAGTTATGTAAATGTAAATGACCCTTACCAACTAAAAAGACTTGGTCAGCAAACTTTGTTTTGAGAACATCTTCAAAACTCTTAAAGTAGAATCGAAAATTAGGAAATCCATTGTCTGATAGTTTTTGAATCTTGGTCTTTCCCAAAAATTGGAGCATGCAAGGGTGATTGGTAGTTTTTGTGCCTTAGGAATTGCGTAAAACCTTGACCCTCATGATTAAGTAAACCGCATTTTCTTGCAAATCTTTTTTGAATGTGCTTATATCAGAATCTTTGATCTGAGCATGGATCCGAGAGCCCTAACAACAAATATAAAACGTTAATCTATAATTAAATTTATTTTTTTTGTTTAAAGACGTATTATTTGTAAAATATAAAACAGTGTAGAACTTACCTCTGAGTAATGGAAAACAAAATCCAACGATTCCGGCCCTCGAGAATGAGCAGCAACATGGTAAACTCTAATTGCTCTTAGCTTCATCATCAACAACCCGGAATTTTCACGAACATTTTTTATGGCAGTAATCATCACTCCCATCTCCAACCAAAAACAGAGGTGAAGCACCGATTATTAAAATTATAACTCTCTAAAACTCTCGTTTCCTGAACACTCGTTTAATTTTCTAGGACGGTAAGGTAGCGTATTTATACTATCCACGGTAAGTTAGCGTATGAAATTGTGGTAATTACAATGTACCGTGTATTAATACTATGTATTAATATATGGAAAGTTTTATTACCTATTACCTATTACAGTACTGTGTTTTATTACCTTTTTAATAATATTAAAATTACAAAGTTTAATTACCTATTACCTATTACCTATTACCTAATTACCTAATTACCTATTACCTAATTTATTTTATTTTAAAATTTTAAAATACCGTGTATTAATACTGTGTATTAATATCATGTATTAGTACCGCGTATTAAACAAGTATAATAATGGAACATTTAGAACATAATTTCGTGTATTTTTTACTATTTAAAAATGTAAACACCGTTCTTTCCTTATTAACATTCCTTATTAATATCGTTTATATTATTCAATAGTACCTATTACAATACCGTGTTTTATTACCTTTTTAATAATAATAAAATAAAATTACGAAGTTTTATTACCTATTACCTAATTACATATTTTTTTTAAAATTTTAAAATTAAAATACCGTGTATTAATACTGTGTATTAATACCATGTATTAGTACCGCGTATTAAATAAGTATAATAATGGAAAGTTTTGAACATAATTTCGTGTATTAATATTTTAAAATTTTAAAATACCGTGTATTAATACGGTGTATTAATACCATGTATTAGTACCGCGTATTAAATAAGTATAATAATGGAAAGTTTTGAACATAATTTCGTGTATTAATATTTTAAAATTTTAAAATACCGTGTATTAATACGGTGTATTAATACCATGTATTAGTACCGCGTATTAAATAAGTATAATAATGGAAAGTTTTGAACATAATTTCGTGTATTAATATAGATTTTTAAATGTAAACACGGTTCTTTCCTTATTAACATTCCTTATTAATAAAAGCATTTAACAATTTTAAAAAATACGGTTTTTTAAACACGGTTCTTTCCTTATTAACATTCCTTATTAATAAAAGCATTTAACACATATCATATCAAAAAATAAAAGCATTTAAACATACCTTTTGTACTTTGACTTAAATTTATTTACGTTAAATTAAGTTTCCATTCGTAATAAAAACCCTTTATTTAATGCACACGAATTCTAAAAAAAATATGTAACAAATCTCGCAATTAAATTTCTTTTCATTACAAATATTTCCATAAATATTGTTAGACAAATATACCGTGTATATTATTATTCAATAGTAAATAGCTCCCAGGGTGCCATTAGTAATTACCATATGTGGTTAAGATCATTAAGTTAGTACCGTATACATTGGAATTACCATATGTGGTTAAGATCATTTAAGTTTGTCATTACTAATTACTATATGTGGTTAAGAATTACCAAATCTTATGCACCATGAAATGAGCGGGAAAAAGCCAATGCAAATTCATGGCTTTTTAAATAATAGATAGATTGAATGTCGCCCCTAACAATTAGTTGTAGGCCTTCATCAACTTCTTTATTAGAAACAACCAAGTCTCCTTCCATCTTCAACGGATATCAATTGAAGGTAGTAATAGCACAACTTCAAATTTTAATCTTTGAAATTGGAAGGGTAATTCAATTCCACTTTAAATTTTTAGTTACTCAAGCTTACTTTTTTTGCTCTATTAGAAATTTTATAGAAAGAAGTTCAATTTTTGCTAAAATTTAATTTAAAACCTTTTTAAGGATGCATATTTCTGTTCTAATACTTAAGCAAATATTTGATATTCTTTGTTGGCATATCCTTTAAAATTTGTTGTTCCATATTGCCAAGAAATTTGATGTTCTTTGTTGGAATATCCTTTAAAATTTGTTGTTCTAAATGAAGAAATATGATTTTCCTTAAACAATAAAGTGGGTTACATGGGTTTATATATACAGTCTTTTCCTAATCCTAATCATGGTAGGATTCTACAATAGGAAACAATATTTGTACAATTAATATAGTATATATTATTAACATAAATATAAAATATATTTAACATGCTCCCGGCTACGTCGGCGTCGGAGGTGGGCGAATCCCTAGGCTTGTCCGAAATTCTTGAAACAATATGGACGGGAGGCCTTTTGTAAAGATGTCGGCGTACTGTGACGAGGATGGCACATGAAGGACTCTAATCTGGCCAAGGGCTACCTTGTCACGAACAAAGTGAATATCAACTTCAATATGGTTGGTGCGCTGATGCTGGACCGGATTGGTGGAGAGGTAAACAGCACTGACGTTGTCGCAGAAGATGAGTGTGGCGCGGCGTAGGGGCTGTTGTACCTCTAGAAGGAGATTTCGGATCCAGCTGGTTTCGGCTACGGCATTTGCAAAAGCTCGGTATTCAGCTTCAGCACTAGATCGGGAAATGGTAGCCTGGCGTTTGGAGGACCAAGAGATGAGATTGTCCCCAAGGAAAACACAGTAGCCTGATGTGGATCGCCTAGTATCAGGGCACCCAGCCCAATCAGCATCAGAATAGGCCTGGAGAGAATCTGTGCCAGAGGGAAACAGAGTCATACCGTAAGTGGAGGTGCCACGGAGATAGCGTAGGACACGCTTCATGGCCGTGACGTGGACATCTCGTGGGGCGTGTAGATGGAGACACAGCTGCTGAACAGAGTAGGAGATGTCTGGCCTGGTGAATGTGAGATACTGGAGTGCTCCAACTATGGATCGATAGAGAGCTGGGTCGGCTGCCAGCGTGCCTGATGTGCCAGACAATTTGGCCTTCGTATCGACTGGAGTGGAGATGGGACGACAAGTGGTCATGCCGGCACGCTCTAGGATGTCATGCGTGAACTGTGTCTGATGTAAAAAGAGACCACGAGCCGTCCGATGAACATTGATGCCCAAGAAAAAATGAAGGTCGCCCATGTCAGTCATAGCAAATTCCCCTTTAAGTCGCTCAGTCAAGCGCTTAAGGAGAGAGTCAGAGGAAGCTGTGAGGACGATGTCATCCACATAAAGGAGTAGGTAGGCAGTGTCTATCCCATGAGAGTAGATGAAGAGAGAGGTGTCTGACTTACATCCTCGAAAACCCAGTGTGAAGATGAAACCAGCAAATCGTTGGTACCACGAATGGGGAGCTTGTTTCAAGCCATAGAGAGCCTTCTTCAGCCTGCATACATGGTTGGGCCGGTGGGGATCCTGGAATCCGGATGGCTGAGAGGCGTAGACTACTTCATGCAGATGGCCATGGACAAAGGCATTTTTGACGTCCAACTGATGGATCGGCCATCCACGAGAGAGAGCAAGGCTGAGAATGATGCGTATAGTAGCTGGCTTGATCACAGGGCTAAAAGTCTCATCATAGTCGACTCCGAATCTCTGGTTGAAGCCACGAACAACCAATCGGGCTTTGTACCTGGTTAACTCACCTGTAGGGCCAAGTTTGTGCCTAAAAAGCCATTTTCCGGTTATGATATTTTGGTGAGGGGAAGGGGGTACTAGTTCCCATGTATCATTCTTAATCAATGCATTAAATTCTTCACACATAGCATTGTGCCAATTGGGATCTTTGAGAGCACTACGGTAGGTGAGAGGCAGGGGGGAAATGGGGACAGTGGTGTTGAGATTGAGAATATGTTTGGGACAGGTTATGCCCGTTTTGGAACGTGTGACCATGGGATGTTGATTTGTGGTGATGGGT